CTAACTTAACAACATTGTTACAAGATTTATATATTGCCAACCCAACCGTTAGATTATATTCCTAACATATTTGAGCCCCCAAGTTTGTTGCTAAGCAAGATTTGTTGTGAAGTGACTTTTAGCCCGTTTCACAAATCTTCCTTGCCATGGTTGTTAAGTGAGTCACTGCAGTTGTTAAGTTAGTGACCCAGTTGTTAAGTGAACCTGGCTTCCTCGTTGACTTTTGCTTGTCAGAAGGTCACAAAAGGGGATCGCATTAACCCGGGCCCCGGCAACCGTCATAAATACATGCCAGTTGCCAAGCCTCTGAATTTTGATCACGTGAGCATGGGGATTGTACAACAGTCATAAGTCACTTTTTTTTCCATTGATGGTATAATTTCAAACAGTCACTTAACTGAGAATATTGCATACTGAGAATAGATCTGCTGAACAAAACTCCAGATTGGTGACAGGGAGAGCATCTGGCCATTAAAACATTTTGCTAGCTCCATTCCTACACTCCACTCCACAAGGGATTATGGGGTCGTTAAAAAGTGATGACTCAATTGGGGATTGTAACTCAGAGATTGCCTGTATACCCAGATAAAGGCCAGTGGTTGAGTGTCTTGTTTCTTTTCTAGATTGTAGACCAAGAAGCCAATATTTTGCCTCCTGGAAAAGAGGGTGAAATAGCAGTCAGGATAAAACCCGAAAGACCCCTTGGCTTCTTCACTCAGTACATTGTAAGTAAACTCTCTTGTAGCCTTGGGAAAAATCTCAGGAATTGTCTAAGGCTCGGAAAGCTCTTTTATTTAATAGAAAATTGAAGAATGTCTCCCGATCTTCCTTACTTTTAGTTTACGTTTTTAGACTTTTTCATCCGCCCCTGCGAAACAAAAAAACCCAGACATGTCTAAAGCGTGGTTACGCAATCTTGGCAACTTTAAGACCTATGGACTTTAGCTCCCAGAATTCTGGGAGTTGACGTCCACAAGTCGCCACAGGTGGATACCCCTGGCAGAGGTGGGTTGCTCCCGGATCGGCCCGGATCGGGCATACTGGTGGTGGCGGCAGTGGAAGGTTCTGCCCATCCACCTGGACACTTCTGCGCATGCACACGCATGAGTGAGCACGAGCGAACTGGTAGCGCCAGGATTTGGCACCCACCCCTGGATACAAGGGACGCGGTGGTTCAGTGGCTAAGACACTGAGCTTTTTGATTAGAAGGTCGGCAGTTCAGTGGTTTGAATCCCCAGCGCTGCGTAATGAGATGAGCTTCTGTTACTTGTTCCAGCTTCTGCCAAACTAGAAGTTTGAAAGCATGTAAAAATGCAAGTAGAAAAATAAGGACCACTTTGGTGGGAAGATAACAGCGCTCCGTGTGTTTAGTCGTGCCAGCCACATGACCACGGAGACGTCTTCGGACAGTGCTGGCTCTTCAGCTTTGAAATGGAGATGAGCATCGCCCCCTAGAGCTGGAAACGACTAGCACAGATGTACGGGGGAACCTTTGCCTTAAAACTACAAGAGCTGACTGAGAAATTCTGGGAATTGAAGTCCACAAGGCTTAAAGTCGTGAAGATTGGACTAGTTACAGAGTCTAGAGAGTAAATTAGATTGTGTCCCTTCCTTTGAGTGGGGGATACATCTTTAATGACCCATATCAGTGGCCAATGAAACTCTCCCTTCGGACTCCCATTGAATTGGTATTTATATGGCTAATTGTATCCTTCTGAAATGTTCTCCTCAGGATGCACCTCAAAAAATGGCTGCCACAACGCGCGGGGACTTTTTCCTCACTGGAGACAGAGGAGTGATGGATGAAGATGGCTACTTTAGGTTCATCGGACGAACTGACGATATCATCAAATCATCTGGGTCAGTTTCCATTCTGGGCATTGCTTTCGTAGCTTTGTGCTCCCAAGCTAAGAGAGAAGCTTAGGTGGCAATTTGGCATACCTCGAGTGCCGAGGCAAATATCAAAATGACACATTTCAAAGCTCTTGTTGTCAGCGTTCCAAATATCATGCAGAATTAAATCCGAGTCCAAGGCAGAGCTATCCTTAAAGTTCCAA